ATGTGTCTGGTTTGATAGGGAGGGTTCAATGTCTGGGTGGCAAGTAGGGAGGGTTTGGAGGCTGAAGGATACCAACTCTGTCTCAGCGGCGCATCTGAATACATTTAGTTCCTGATTTTGGATAGTGAGAGTTGGGACAAGTTTATTGGCTGGAAAACAGCTCTGTTTCAGATTTATCAGGTGAAGCTGAAGGATACCAGCTCTGTCTCAAAAAAAAAAAAATACACACACACACTTGATTCCTGAGTTTAGATTGGGAGGAATGTTGTCATTATGACAGCCAATACCTATCGAGCAGTTACCAAGGGCCAGTTACCATGCTAAGCAAGCTGTGAGTGTCTTAACTCACATCATGCTCACAACAGTCCTGTGAAGTACATACTGTTGTCATCACCCCCGTTTTACAGATGAAGACACTGAGGCACAGAGAGGATACGTGACTTGTCGGGGCAGCCGTCAGTCGCAGAGTGGGGTTGAAGCCCAAGAGCCGCTGCCGGCTACCCTTACAGGAGGCCGCGTGGGGCTCAGGTCCCAGCTGGGGTGGGGCCTAGAGGTTGGCCATCTTGCGGGACGACAACGGGTGTGGGTGATTCTGCCCCACCTGTCTGCTTGGCCCAAGAGGCCCAGTTACCTGCTCTCCCCTCCTTACTCCTGCCCCAGCCCACCTCTGCACGGGCTTATTGTTGTTGTTATTGACAGTCATTAATGACGTGGTGTGAGTTTCCTTGTACTTTGAAATGCCTTCCAAAGTGACTGTGGCCTCTGTCGGCCCTGTAACCGCTGTTTACCCATTTTACAGATGAGGAAAGCCAAGCCTTGATACTCAGTCTGCATTGCCAGCCAGAGATGCCCTCGGCCCTCTCAGCTCTGGTTTCATAAGTGTCCCTCTTCCCAGCATTCTTGCTGTCCCACAAGAGGCGGGAGAGGCCATGGCTGAGGGGACACTCCCCATTGACACCGAGCCACCCACCTTATGGCCGCTGCCTCCACCAGCCCTAGGCAGTGAAGGGGGGAGAAGGGGGCGGATGAAAGGAGCCTTTGTGACCCATGCCAGAAATCTCACCCCCAGGAAGAAAGGTGGGCAGGGTGGCGGGAGGCCTTGGTAGCACGCATATACATATATGGGGCAGGGCATTGCTGATACAGGGCTCCCCTCCAGGCTTGGCCCCCCTGCCAAGTGGGGAGGGAGCTTTCCTCACTCTGCTCTTTCACATCACAGCTTGGGCTGCTGCAGGGGCCCGGGTTGGGCTTGGGCCCTGAGGTCACAGAGCAGATGGTCCCAAATGGAGCACAGGATGTGTGGTATGTGCCGGGGCAGGCCAGAGCCCTCAATTTCCTTGACTCTGGCCAGAAATGCCCAAGGGGGAGGAGTGGGGCAGAGCCAGCCTGGATGTCAAGAAGCATGAGCCCCCTCCCCACTCCTCCTCCCTTGCAGGAGTAGCCTCTGTCCGCCTCCAGCCCAGGACCCGGCCCCCCGAGTTCTGAGTCCACCTGCTCTTAGGCCTCTGTGATCAGAATCAGGCCTTTTCACCTCTCCAGGCCCCAGCTTCCACATCTATGAGCTGGCTATGAAGAGCTGGGTCTGCGTCGTCCTCCCAGGTTTGTAGGGACCAGGAGGGGTGAAAACATGCATGTTTTGTCAGTTTGCTGGGATGATTTCCTCTGGAGGTGCAGAAGGTAGTAGGGTCTTGAAGCCCCGGTCTTTCCTTGGAGAAGCTGACCTCCTCTGTCCCCAGTTTGGGAAACTGTTACCTCAGTGAGGGTGGCAGTCACCCCAAGACCTTCTCCCACCCATGCCTTGTCCTGGGAGGGAAAGGTAGGGGCCTCAGGCATGTGATGCTTGCTGCCAAGAGACACACACCCGATTTACACCCGCGTGCTTAACGTGTCCCCTAACTCCATCCCCAGCTCCCGGTTAATACCCTTGGGTGGGCAGGGTCTGATGTGGGCACCCGGGTAGCACCGGAGGCAGCCCCACTCCCACAACCCTTAGCCCTTCTTCCTTAGTTCTCTACTAGGTGACTGGGGTGAGCGGGGACGTCTGGGCTCTTTTCTTGGCCATGCTGGACACCCTGAAGGGTCCCGGCCCTGAGATTGTCCCTAGGGGTGTCCTGAGCCCTGGTGACAGGCAGGCAAGGGTTAAGAGGTATGGGCTGGCCCAGTCCCTGGCCAGGTAGGCTGGGCTATTGCCTAGTGGGAGGCGGCCTAGGCATCCGCCACTGTGCTCACCGCTCACTACCACTACCAGCTGGAACAGGGCCTGGTTGAGACAACTATTTTTTTGAGGTACCTGAGGCCACCCCACAGCACCTCTCTGGCGTTGGTGAGCACCTGGGAACAGGGGGCCCAGGGGCGGGGTGGGGGGAGAAGGGTATAGGGTGTACCATGGCTTCCCCTGGGAGAAAGCCAGGTCTGTGCGAGGGGTACAGCGAAGGAGGACCTGAGGAGAGGAGCGAAGCCCAAAATGTCCAATTTCCTCTCCTGGCATGAAGCCGATTCCTTGCCAGAAATGAACGAGAAGAAGGGGTGGGGTAGAAGAGAAGCCAGAGCCCCCCTTCTCCACAGTCCCCCCTTGCTCCCTGGCCCCCTTCCTCCCCCTGGGGAGTAGCCTCTGCCTTCCTGCAGCCTGGGGCCTTGCCCCTGGGGAAAGCCCAGAGCAGGCTATTGAGAAACTGCTTCCCGACACCAGCCTGCCTCCATCTGTTCACCCAGAGTGGGGGACAGTCCCGGGCACTGGGAGTTGGTATTTGCCCCGATAGTGGCGAGATAGGGAAATGGAGGGTCCCACTGAGGGTGGTAGGGCGCCACCCAGGTGAGGCGTCTCGGTTGTAAACAGTCATTACAGCCAGGAATTTCTTTCTCGGCTGTGCTGTCAGAAGGGCAGACCTGAAAAACCTGCTGGGCCCGCCTCTGGGTGTGCGTGTGTGGGGGGGGTCCCCTCTGCAGCTCTCCTGCTGCGGCCCCATCCCGCGACAGGACTCGGGGGCCGGGGGAGGTAGTTAGGGAAGGGGACTGCTGGGATCCCCCTTCTCTGCATCTCCAGGTGGGGATGGGGCAGTTCTGGACCCTAAGGCAAAGGTGCAGAGGGCAGGCAAGCGGAGGCAGGGGTTCGGGAGCTGGGTGTGGGGGTGTGGGGCGTTGACCCTGTGTCTAGCCTACCCGGTGACCCCATGACTCAGGCCCTAGCTATGTCCCCGAGGTCAGGCTGACAGGGTGGAGTCGGGGTTCCTGTCTAGACCCCGTGTTGACTTCCAGGATGCCGTGAGCTCCCAGGGAAGAAAGGCTCAAGGCAGCCCAGCGTGGGATGTGGGACCAATCCTGGTGAATGGGCCCACCGGGGAGGCGTTGAAGTTCCTGTTGGGGTGGAGCCCTGGGACAGTTCCTCAGACTCAACCAGGGGCTGGAGAAGAAGGAGCTCCAGGAGCTTCGGGGCCCAAGAGGCTGAGCTGGGACCTCCAGGAAACCTCGCTGTGCTGGGCAATGTCAGGCCTTGGAGGGTGGTCATCTGCAGAGCACACGTTGCTGCCTGGGTGTGCAAAAAGGCTTTAGGGACTGACCCCTGCTATGGAGGTTGAGGACAGGGAACCACTGTTTTCTGGGAGCCGGTAGCAGGACTGGTGGCACCATATTAGCAGCTTGGCCGCCTCCCACAGCGGGTTGATGGGGAAGGGGCTCGAACCCACACCTCCTTGGCTGCCTGGGTCTTCTTCACACCTGGCCGCCCCGGCAAGCTGGGGATTAGGAGGGGCGGGGACCTCCGTGGCCTCATGAGGCCCTCCCAGTTGCCTGCCGCCAGCCCGATCTCAGGCCAGGTGGTGGGAGGTGATGTCACCTGGCTCCCCAGCTGGGGACCGAGCAGGATGTGGGAGGGAAGGAGCAAACTCCAGAGGAGGGGACGAGGGCAGGGCTGGCAGCCAGCCAAGGCAGGCTCTGTGGTCAGCCAGGGTGTCTGGGGGCAGAGAAGGAAGTAGGAGGCAGGAGGCTTGTTATCTGCAGCTGTGGACTTTGCTGCTCACTGTCCCAGCAGGGGTGACTCCCCTCTGCCTGGTTCGGGACCGGGACCGACTGGGGTGCGCAGAGGGGCTGGAGGGATCCTGGGGCCTAGTGAACACTCTGCGGCACTGGGGCCGCAGGATGGAATCGGGACAGGTAGAGACCCACAGATCTGGGCTAGATCCCTAGCTTGGCTCTCTCACTTACGCGACAGCCATTCATTGAGTGCTCACTGCTCTCTCAGAAGTGTTCTGAGTACCAGAGATCCCGGGAAACAGGACAGGTATGTTTCTTGTCCTCACGAATGTGCAGGGGAAGCACAGTCTCTTGCTGGACAGCAGTTGTGAGGGGACCCGGGTGGGGGCCCACCACTGGAAATGACACATAAGCCCCAGCATGTAAGTGAGAACTAGGGGCCGGAGAGGCGAGGCATGGCAAGAGCACTCCAGACGGCAGCCGCAGCCTGGGCAAAGGCCCTGAGGCCTGCCGGGCCGGGAGCTTATGAGGGATTGGTGAGGTTGGAACAGCTCCACGGGGGAGGGTCAGGCCTTCTGTGCCTTACTGTCCTCATCTCGGAAATGGGGGCAATAATCACAGAACTGCCGTCAAAGGGTGGTTGGAAGATTCAGTGTGGCATGGAAGGTGACTGTTCCAGGACCCAGGTGCTTCATCAGGGCCCCCCGTTGTTAGAGTTGGTTCAATCTGTACCATTAATTCTCCCTCCCTAGGCAAGACTCCTGACTGCGGCCCATGGGCCTCTGAGGAGGCGTCGTAAGTCCGCCCAGCTCCCCACGTGCTGTGCTTCCACTCAATGGGAAGGGAGCCGAGGTACCAGGGCCCAGTGGGGCCAGACACTGCCACAGATGCTGAGAGGGCAGGCCAATCAGGAGGGCGGGGTCAGGGGACCCTTTACTCCCAGCGAGGCTGCGGGACGTTGGGTCGGGGCAGGGGTTGGGGGGACGCAGGACGTGCTTCCTTAATGGCTCCTGTGCGTCCCTACCAGGCCCTGTCCAGCGATCAGCCACTGCCTCTCGACGGCACCAGGATGGAAGTCAAAGGTCAGCTGATCAGCTCTCCCACCTTCAGTGCCTCAGGTGCGTGGCTGGTTCCCCTCTCTGCCTCTTTCCCCGCTCTGAGTCACCACCTGCCTACTTGGAAAGGGTTGGTCCATGGCCCCACGCTGTGCCAGGACGCCCTGGCTGATCTTTGCTCGGAACTTTGCTCCCTCTGTGTCCAGCTGCCCTGTTCGGAGAGGCTGCCCCCCAGGTGAAGTCAGAGCGTTTGCGGGGACTGCTTGACCGGCAGCGAGCCCTGCAGGAGGCCCTGAGCCTGAAACTTCAGGAGCTCCGCAAAGTGTGTCTCCAGGAGGCGGTGAGGGCCTGGCCCTAAGTGTCTGGTGGGCAGGGGTGAGGAGCCGGGGCTCCTAGGCAGGCAGGTGGGGGCGGTGAGTGCTGAGCCACCTGTCTGAGCTGTAGATTCCCTGTCACCCTCTAGTTTCTCAGAGCTCAACTTCGACGTCTTAGAGTCAGGAAAATCTGGCGGGGCAGGCCCCCAATTCCTTATCAGCAATTTGAAATCCCCAAACCCTCCAAAACACAATAGTTATTTCCAAAATCTGGCAGTAAAACCTGACCTGAACTGACAAGGGGTGAGTTACGGTTTTGATTTACCCCTCTTGGTGTGAATGGCTACATAGTTGGCCAGGAAGATAACGCAGTTCACAGCATGCAGCCCCAGGCCCCGAGGGGTGGGTGACATGATACGCAGTATATAGACCGCGTCGCCTTTACGAGAAATAAGAAATTCCAGGTTCCAAAGCAGGTCTCCTGACCTCCCACGCCCTCGGCCCCAGGGATTTGAGCCACCTGTGGGCCTGGGAGGGAGGAGGAGAAGCGGCAGGCATGGAGTGCTGGGCATTACTGAGCTGCTAGTAGGACTTCCGTAGCTTCTGCCGTCACTCCTGCTTTGCGCCATTCCCCCAGCTAACCCTCGGTAGTCTCTGCCCCCGGCCCCCACCAGGAGCTGACCGGCCAGCTGCCCCCCGAGTGCCCGCTGGAGCCTGGGGAACGGCCTCAGCTGGTCCGCCGGCGGCCCCCTGCCGCCCGAGCCTACCCTGCGTCGCACCCCAACCCGGCACACCGCTCCTTGTGCCCTGCTGAGGTGAACAGACGGGCTTGGGGAACAAGGTGGGGGTGGGACAGGTACAGGGGCAGCGCTGGGGTTGCGGCCAGGGCAGGGAGAGGCGAAGGTGACAAGGAAGCAGCTGGAGGGAGGTGGGATCCGGCTCTGGGGGAGGGCGCTGGGCCCCGTGCTAAGCCTCTCACCCTCAGGAAGAGGGATGTGTCTAGTCCGTACCCCGAGGCAGGCCCCACCTGCAGAAGAAATGAGCTCCGCCCCAGAACAGGCCCCGCCCCCGCGTCCCTGCGCCCGGCCGGCTTGGACATGTGGTCCCGTCCTGCCCCGTCGGGCGCGCCCCGCAGGAGCTGGCTCTCGAGGCCCTGGAGCGCGAGGTGTCCGTGCAGCAGCAGATCGCGGCCGCCGCCCGCCGCCTGGCCTTGGCCCCCGAGCTGAGCGTCGAGCAGCGCCGCCGCCGGCGCCAGGTGCAGGCAGATGCGCTGCGGAGGCTGCACGAGCTGGAAGAACAGCTGGGGGACCTCCGGGCCCGCCTCGGCCTCCCGGGGCTCCCCCCGCCACAGCCCCTGGCCCTGGCCGCGGGGGCGGTCATCACCGCCCAGGGAATGTGCCTGGGCACGCGCCTCGCTCAGCTCAGCCAAGGTGAGCCCCCCACCCCGTGTCACCGCACCGGCAAAGGCGGGAGCGTGGGCAGTGGCCGAGGGCCGTGGGCTGGGCTGGGAGACGGCCCGCGACAAGTGGGAGCCAGGCAGGACTGAAGGGCCCCAACCCGTAAGGGGAGTCGTGACAAACTGGCTCTGTGGCAAGGGTGGGGCCGCTGGGAACTTGACCAGGTGGCCCCAGGAAAACGAAGAGCCAAGCGGCGGGTGGTCTTGCATTCAGGTAAAGGTGGGGTCTTGGGAAGGAACGGGCCGGGGGCGGGGGCGGTGCGCGGAAGGGGATGGCACCCAGCCCTTGCCTTGAAAGGCCCGGGTCTCCCCCTTCTCGCCTGTAGAGGACGTAGTTCTGCACTCGGAGAGCAGCTCCCTCTCAGAGTCTGGGGCCAGCCATGATAATGGTGAGGACTCCTGTACCCCAAAGCCACCCACCCTTTGATGCTCAGCCCCTCCGCTCCCTCTTTAACCCCTCTTGAGCCATGCCCCGTCCTTGCGTGGGGCCCCCATCTTTCTTGGCTCTCGCTGCCCAGCTCATGATCCCCAGTTCCAGCCTCGAGCCTTAGCTCCTGCCCCACCCTCTGCCACTGCCTGCCCCCCACCCCCCCGTCCCTGCCCACAGCCCTGCGCGCAGCCCATCTGGCCCCCCCATTGATTGGCTTTTCTCCCACTTTCCGCCTTCCTCCCAGAGGAGCCCCGTGGCTGCTTCCCTCTGGCCGAGCGCCCCTCACCACCCAAGGCCTGGGACCAGCTGCGGGCCGTATCTGGGGGCAGCCCTGAGCGGCGAATCCCATGGAAACCACCCCCGTCAGATCTTTACGGGGATCTGAAGAGCCGGCGGAACTCTGTGGCCAGCCCCACCAGGTGAGGGTGAGCCCCTTCCCTCCCCCCGCCGCCGGAAGCCGGGAGCGGGATCCTGAGCCTGGGCGGGCAGAACGGCCTGTTGGTGGGTATGGTCTCTAACCTGGGCCTGCCCGTCTCTGTCTAGCCCGACGCGCTCGCTGCCCAGGAGTGCCTCCAGTTTTGAGGGGCGAAGCGTGCCCGCCACCCCTGTCCTCACCCGGGGCGCTGGCCCCCAGCTCTGCAAGTAAGGGGACTCTGAGGGTGGGTTTGAGGACTGGAAGAAGAACTGTTAGTTCTAAGAGAGCATTAGCAAAGGGTATGGGATGTGAGAGGCTGGGCTTTGAAAGGTATATTGGGCACAAGTCACTTCTTTCTCTGAATCTTGGCTCCTCATCTGTGAGATGGGCGTAATATCTGCCTGTGAAGGACACTGTGGGCATAGTAAGTTCTGGTTAACGTGTACTGAGCGCCTAACGTCTGCTGGGAAGCCGTGTTCTGCACGGTATCGACCCCTGTAATTGTCCTAAGATCCCTGCCAGGTAGGTGCTGTCATTATTCCTGTTTTATGGATGAGGAGCCTGAGGCACAGAGCGGTTAAGTGACTTGGTAGTAGATCGAAGACCTGGTGTTTGAACCCAGGCTGGTTTGCCTCTAGAGTCCGTGCTTTGAACCGCTGCACCCTCCTACTTCTTGAACAAATACTTGCTAAGCACCTGCTTTTCCCAGGCTGTGAGCAGAACAAAGTCCCTGTCCTTCTGGCCCTCGCATCCTGTGAACGGTGGCTGATAGTTCGGGGTCGTTCAGACACACGGGGCGGCCGGGGGGGGGGGGGGGGGGGGGAGGACAGAGAGTTCAGGAAGTTGGATTCCAGGCCCGGGGATTAGGACCCCGCTGTGGAGGGGGCAGGGAGCTGTGAGACACGCCCCCGCAGGGCAGGGGGCCCCAGGCATTGGGAAGAGCCCTCTGCCGTCCTCCTCTGTCAGTCCTTCCCCTGCAGCCCTGCACGCGCTTACATCTCCCTTGGCACTAACCACCCTCCCCCCCACTCGTCTTCCGTCCCTCTGCCCCTAGCGGGGGACAGAACCTCCGCTGCCTTGTCCGTGCGCCCCGCCTAACCCCTTGATACACCAGGTCTCTAATTCTGGAAGAGGACTAATGAGGAAGAGGTGGGGTCTGGCGGGCGCCCGGCCGCTCCCGTCACTCCCGTCACCCCGACCTCTGCGTCCCCAGACCCGAAGGCCTGCATTCTCGCCAGTGGTCCGGCAGCCAGGACTCCCAGATGGGCTTCCCCCGGGCAGAGCCTGCCTCCGACCGCGCCTCCCTCTTTGCAGCCCGCACCCGTCGCAGCAACAGCTCCGAGGCCCTGCTTGTGGACCGGGCGGCCGGTGGGGGAGCTGGCTCCCCGCCTGCGCCTCTGGCTCCCCCTGCCGCTGGCCCCCCGGTCTGCAAGAGCAGCGAGGTGCTGTACGAGCGCCCCCAACCGACCCCTGCCTTCTCCTCCCGCACAGCTGGCCCCCCAGACCCTCCCCGGGCTGCCCGGCCTAGCTCAGCTGCCCCTGCCTCCCGTGGGGCCCCTCGGCTCCCGCCCGTGTGCGGGGACTTCCTCTTGGACTATTCCCTGGACCGGGGCCTGCCCCGTAGCGGCGGCGGCGGCGGCGGCGGGCCAGGCTGGGGGGAGCTGCTGCCTGCAGCTGAGGTCCCAGGACCTCTCTCCCGCCGGGATGGGCTCCTCACCGTGCTCCCAGGCCCACCACCCGTGTATGCAGCTGATGGCAGCAGCCCCCTCCTCCGCAGCAAGGACCCCCACGCCCGTGCTGCCCGCACCAAGCCCTGCGGCCTGCCCCTGGAGGCCGCCGAGGGGCCGGACGTGCATCCGAACCCTCTGCTGTGGATGCCCCCGCCCACCCGTATCCCCCCAGCTGGGGAGCGCATCGGCCACAAGAACCTTGCCCTGGAGGGGCTGCGGGACTGGTACATCCGCAACTCGGGACTGGCCGCCGGGCCGCAGCGGCGGCCTGTGGTCCCCCACGTGGGCCCGCAGCACCCGCCCTTCCTCCACGCCCGCTGCTATGAGGTGGGCCAGGCGCTGTACGGGGCCCCCAGCCAGGCGCCGCTCCCGCACTCGAGGAGTTTCACGGCACCCCCTGTCTCCGGCAGGTATGGGGGGGGCTTTTACTGATGGGTAGGGGTCTCTTGAGGCAGATGGCAAGCCAGTCACGGTAGCTAAAGACTCAGACCGGGAGAGAACTGGCTGCCGCCTCGGCCCGGGGTCCTGGGCCCTGCCTGACCTGCATGAGTCTATGGGGTCTCGGTGGAGGGGTGTCTTGGGCCCCTGGCAGTGGCGGCAGTTGTCTACCAAGCTGTAGAAGAATTCCAGTATTTGAACAAAACAGTGCATGTCAGCTGAAAATGAGCCTTGAAAGCAGGGTGCTGGGAGGAAGGGCCTCCCGGGCCCCTCGCCTCTCTCTTCTGCCTTTGGCCGTGCCCCCACGCTTGCGAGCCTAAAGGTGCTGTCCTGTGCCTGCCTCCGCCTCTTTAACGAGCCTCTTTTCCTCTCTTTCTGTGTCTTGTCCGTCTTTTCCTCTCTTCTCTGTCTTGCCACCCTGTCCGGATTCCTGCTCCCCCTTCTAAAGATACTACGCGGACTTCCTGTACCCCCCGGAGCTGAGCGCTCGTTTAAGTGACCTGACGCTAGAGGGGGAGCAGTCCTCCAGTTCTGACCCCCAGACCCCGGGGACGCTGGTCTGACCCCTTCTGATATGCCCCTTGTTGGCCTGGGCACGACTTTAATCTGGGGGAGCGCACAGCTGACCTCGCTGAACCCTGGGGTGTGGTTGCTGTCAGTCCTGGGGGGGTGCCGACCTGATCTTCCAAGGCCCCTGGCTCCTCGTGGACCCACAAAGGTGTCTGATACCCTGCTTCCCCTCTCACACTGTGCTGGGAACTGGGACCCTCAGCCAGCTTAAAAGAGGGGCAATGGTGTAACGGGGACTCCAGGCCCCTTCCTCCATTTCTGTTTACACTTGTGATTTAGGTCTTCACTGTCTTCCCCCAACACTAGACGTTTTATAAAAGGGAAACTGTGATCTCGTCCTGGTTGGGTTCGTTCCTGTCCCCACGTCCAGCCCGTTCCATTCAGGAAACCCCACCCCCCAAAATAAACGGACCATATAGGGTCTCAGGGCCCTTTTCGGGGCAGCCAGGAGACACTGGTGTGAACAGAACTCCCTGCCACCCCCCACCAGGCCAGTTCTTGGGGAGGTGGGCTCTCTGCCCACATTTGGAAGGACTGAAGGCTGGGTAGGGGGCTTGGGCTCATTTTCCTACCCCCAGGGGCACCCGAGGGAGCCCCAGTCCTTGTCTGCCTGTCTGTGCCCGCTGCCTCTGCCCGCAGGATGAGATGGCCCAGCCTCCGCCCTGCCTAGCCCAGTCAGGCAGTCGGCCCTGCGGGAGGGCCCAAGGGCAGAGCCACCGGGTGTGTTGCGTCCTGGGATGCTGCGGTGGTGGAGCCTGGCATCTGGTCGATGCCAGTAAAATCCTCAGGTGACGGTTGGCCAAAAGCTGCGTCACGTCTTCCTTGGCTTTCTTTCCACCCACCACTTTTTAAAACAAATCTACACAAGCTGTGTTTTCTATGATACCTATCTGTGACTTTCTGGAGCTGGGGGTCCCCCTACCTCCTTTACCTGGTGTTAAACTTTTCTTTTTCTACCAGTGGATCTGGGCCCAAGACACTACCCACACTGGAAGGGGATTTCTATAATAAATGTGTAAACCGAACCCATGTGTCACTCCTCTTGTCCGCCTTACCTCGGGGGCCCACACCTGTAGTTAGGACCAGGTAATAGATTTTTATGATGCCAGATTATAAAAAACACACACTGGAAACAGCGTGTGATAATGGCGTCCACTTGGGCTTTACTTGCTGGGATGCGGGGCGACAGCTTCGCTGTGTGCACTCAGATCCCTCTTGGCCCCGAACGGGAGCCCTCGGTGATACAAGTGATGGCAAACACCCCGCTTAACGGCCTCGTGTTAGTGCTGCTCCAGAGGAATCCCCTGCTTTGAGGAAGGAACTGAGAGCTCCCCCCGCCCTTCAGTCCACATAGTTGACAGAAAGCGACCTAGGCAGAAAGAGTCCAGCAGAACTGAAAAGCAGAAGGCCACTTCTGGCCACTGAAATGCATGGACTTGACCCCGGAAGCCCACGTTGGCTTGAGCGCTGCAACAGCCTTTATTGTCGCGGTAACACTGATTACAGATGCCCCATTCCGGGTCAGGGATACCCCCACCCCATCCCACCCCTTGGTCCTCATCACTGTGGAACTTTGGAGAGGGGGGCCGAATCCCTAAGCAGAGCTGGAGAGAGGCAAGTGGGACTGGTGAGTGTTTGGGTCACCTGGAACCACGTGTTCAACAGGGTCAGGATGCCTGAGTCCTCTGTCCTGATGGGGGCTGGGCACACCGGGACCCGGGTTCAAGATTTGGCAATGCCCTGACCTGGTTTCAAAGCTGGGGTAAGGGTCTGGAAAAGCCTTATTAGTCCCAGGTCCCAGCTTTGGGGCTGAGCATGGGAGATGGGTGGGTCCCCGATTGGGGGTGGGGGAGTATCTCTGGGTCCAGAGTTTGAGGTTGGCCACAGATGCCCTGGGCTCCAAGCCCCAAGTTCAGGGCTGGGGAAGAGTGGTCCCCTAGGTAACGGGGGGGGGGGCGCGGCGCTGGGTAGGAGGAATATCCCAATTTTGGACCTGGGGTGGGGAGGGTCGCAGATGTCCTCTGGTTTTTGAACTGGACAGGGCCCTCTATTTCAAGGGCTGGGAAAGGGCTCTGGGTGCCGGTATACAGGGCCAGGGTGGGGATGGCATTGTCCAGGTCCTGGGTACAGACCCCAGACCCCTAGGATCCAGCCTCCTGCTCTTGTCCCAGCGCCTCCAGGAGCAGCCCCATTGGCGTCCGCTTGAGACCAATACTCTCAATCTTGTTCTCGATCTTGTTCTTGAGGTTTCGCAGGCGCAGCGAGGCGTGCACCAGAATCACTGTGGGCAGTGCCGAGAGGAGTGGGGTCAGTGGGCTGAGACCTCAGCTTTTAGCCAATGGGGGCCCACAGAGGGGAACTGGAGCACTGGCAGGCCCATTGAGTGGTCAGTGGTCAGGAAGCCTGCGATCTGAAAGCCTGGCCGAGTAAGGAGCCTTGCGACAGGGGCGGGGCCAGGGAGGGCGCAGGGTAGCAGGGACGTGGCCGGTGGAAGACACTGAGCATCAGGAGCGCGGCCTGAAAGGGCGGTAGTACGAGGGGCGTTCCCAGAAGAGGGAAGGCAACGCCAGGGAAGGCGCTCGGGGAAGGAGACGTGTCCCAGCCCCCTCTTAGGGCAGGGCCGGCCTGCCGCTGCGCGCAGGCGCCGGCCATTGATCGGGCTATGGCCGGGTAGCCGGTACTCACGAAGCACGGGCCCGGCGACGCTCAGCAGGAAGGTGCAAGCGCCGCCCACGGCCCAGAGAACAAGCAGGCCGACGGCGAGCACTGCGGCCAGGCAGGCGGCGGGGTGGCTGCGGCGGCAGCGGCGCACGGCGGCTTGAGTCTCAGCCGCCCACACCAGCGCGCCAAGGGCCACCGTCACTACCAGCGCGCTTAGGAGGGTGTGCAGCGGGCGCACGTACCTGCGAGGACAATGGAACTGAGCTAGCCCGGCCGACGGCGAGAGGGCTGCCCAGCCTCCAAGCCTCCCCGTCCACCCAGTCCCGGGCTCCAAGAGCTCTGGTTCCCCCCTCAAGACCCCCCAGCGCGGCAAAAAACTCCTGCCAGTCCTCTGTCCCCACGGGTCCACCGTCCAGGGCTTCCGACTCCCAGGAGCCCCGGGGGCCCTCATTTCCTTTTCGTAGATCCTACAGTCCCATCTTCCTTAGCTCTCCCGTTTCAGGCCCTCTCATCCCGCTAGGCCTAAGCTTCCAGGCTCCCAGCCCTTGCCAGCTCTTTTCTTCCAGCCCTATCCCCCGCGGGGCCCCTCTCCTAACCGCCCCTAGACCCCACCCGCCCCCGCCCCCAAATCCACCCTTTGAGCCCAACCCTGTAGATTCCTCTTCCAGGCCTTCTGTCTCCAGACATTTCCCTCTCCGCGGGCCCAGAGTCTTTACAAGACCCCTTCCAGGCTTCCTCCCCTTCAAGGCCCCCATCCAGGTTCCCACTCCCTATAGATCTCTCCCTCCATCATTGCTAGAACCCCTTCCACGCTTTCAGTAGCACTTTTAACTTCCAGCCCTGCCCAAGTCCCTCCAGGTTCTCCATCCTTCTCTGGTCTCAGGCCTTCCACCTCTGGGTCCTCCCTCTTGGTTCAAGTTCCCCAAGAGGTACTTGCTCCTGGAACGTTCCAATCACAGCCAGGCTCCCCTCCACGCCCAGAGCCTCCGCAAGCCCACCCTCCCAACCCTTCAACTTCACATCCCTGTCCCTGTCTCTGCCCGAAGTCCTCCAAGGCCGCCTTAATCGGGCCCCATCACTCACGTCCTCCCCCTCCACCCCCACTTTCACTTTCAGGCCCTCCTTATCTTCAGGTCCACCTCCTTACCCAGTTTCCCCTCCAGTCCCACATTCTCCACCCTCAGGCCGTATCCCACCCAAGGCACGCCTTATAACCATGCTCGACTTCCTTCAAGTCTCCCCTCTCATTCCCCGGAGGTTTTCCATCGCTAATGAACTCGCCCTTGCAGCCTTGCATCCCCCTCCCGTTCCTCAAAACCCCACGGGTCCACCCTCCCTGCCCCGCAGGCGTCCCTGACCAACCGGCGTCTCCCTCCCTCCCTCACCCAGCCAGAGCGAGACTGAAGCCGAAGCACAGAAGGTAGTTGGTTTGGTAGTAGAGGAGGTTGTTGATGACGCGGTGGCACCATCGCTGCGGGTCGCACGGATCCGGAGCCGCCAGACGCGCCGACCCCAGAACGAAGTCGTCCAGGGCGCGTAGCGGTGGCAGCCGCACCTCCGACATCCTGCCGGTCGTTGTAGCTGGACCAGCCAGAAGAGCGGCCGGACTACAACCCCCGTTGCATCCCGCGCCACCGCGAGGGACACCGGGAAATGGAGTCTGGGTCCAGCGGCTGCTATCTCAACCGCCCAGGCGGACTACGCAATAGCCGCGATGCACGTGACCGGAAATGCCAACACGCCGGAACTGTAAGGCAGCAGGGGCTGCCGGGAAATCAAGTCGCCGCCGCCCGGCGAGGAGCTCCCACCCATCCCCAGGTGGGGGCGCCCAAGGGGCTGTTCTGAGCCGCGCTGATAGCTCAAGTACACAGTGATCGGACATTCTAGGACATGCAGACACACATTCTGGGACATACAGATAGGGGCTGTCAGAAGGACTCGGGCAGGATCCCACTTCCTTACAAGTCAGGGCCCAAGAGGGCCACACCTACTTGGAAACTCCCGCAGGGCCTTTTCAGCTGCATCTCCTCCGGGCCCCACCCATGCCCCCCAGGTCCAGCCCCAGAAATACTATCAAGGGCCTTTTATTCATATTCACCACATTAGAGAGGTCTCTTTCTGGGAAGGTTTTTTAATCCCCACAGGTTGAATCAGGGCACTCCCTCTAGGTCGCTGGCCGTCTTCAGGCTGGGAGTCCCGGGGGGGTCTCTTCCCTCCCTGGGTCCCTGGCCTGGCCCTGCAGGCACACAGTCACCAAGAAGCATTTGGGGGCAAGTGAGCTGTTTCGGCACTGCGCTGCTGCGGGCCAGGTGGGCCCCTGCCCCATTAATGCCTGCTGGCTGGTAGCTTCCGCTGCACTCCTGACCCCCTGAAGGCTTTGCCATCTACCACTGCAGGTCCCTCGCACAACCCGCAGTGTCCTTAAAAGTCATCGTCATCACAGATATCAAGGTACACATCGAAAGCCTCTCTGTTGCAGTTTCCATCAGGAGTGAAGACGTATTTGTGGAAGGTCCCATCTACACAGATGGCTGCAAGGGGGAGGGCAGGTAAAAGGTTAAAGCCTGCCGAAACCACCCACTCCAATCCTCTCCTCGCGGGTGTCCCATGGCCTAGGGTCTACCTCCAGGCCTTTGTGCCCAGGCCTTCCCCCCAGCGATGGAGTTGAGCCGCCCACTCTAGCCCTCTCTCAGGCTTCCCAGGCCCTACAATTCCGGCAGGTCCAAACTGTGGACTTTGCCAATGCAGCACCCCCAGGCAAGAGCTGCTCCCACTCACCAATGACAGAGTTGACGTTCTTGGATGTATTGCGACCGAAGGCGCAGATGCAGGCTGACTCGGCAGGCACGGTGAAGCTCGCCAGGCTCCACTGAGAGTCCACATACTGCCCAATCATAGGCCCCACCTTGCCCACGCGAGCCAGCCTGCAGGCAGCACTGGCTGAGCCCAGGTGTGGGACATGGGCAGGGGATGGGGGCAGGGCCGGGACGGGCCGGGCAGGGAGTACTCACGCAGAGCGGCGGTTGAGGCGGGTGTCCTTTAGAGCGAAGATATGGACTGTGCCCTTATCACTGGAAGCGCAGAGGAACGAGGAGTCATGGCTGAAGTTGATGCTGGAAGACACACCGGCAGTGACGCCCATAGGCCCGGTGGCAGGGGGTCACCAAGCCCACCACACATACCCTCTGCTCACCAGTACAGGGTGGCAGGGTCAGTGCCTCGGCGCAATTCCACCAGTTTCTCCTTGGACTGTGTGTCAAAAAGGCGAATCAGGGTGCCTTTCTGGGAGGCGGAGGCCACTACCGTGCCTGGCTGGTTCAGGGACACACAGGCCACGTCGCTCTGATGGGCGTTGATGGTGAATGGGGCGGATGAGGTGCCAGGCTTGGTGCTCGCCAGGTCCTGCGGTAGAAGGGGCAGTTTGGGCTTGGGGTAGTACGGAAGGCAGAGGCCAAGGGCCCGCAAAGGCAGCCCACCCGCCTACCCTTGCCCACGGGATGGCTCACCACAAGCTGCAGGCTCCCACACTTGTGTCCCGGGAACACCAGCAGCTGTTTCTCCAGGCTGGGGCAGAGGTCACAAAGCCCTAGGGTGTGAGGACAAAGTGCTCGGGGAGGGGGCAGGCTGGTGAACGGGAGGCAGGGGCCAGGCAGTGGGACGGGCAGGGCCTTGCAACGGACAGAAGCTGGGTAAGGGTCCTACTTTGACCTTCCGTGATGTATGGCCCCCACGGAACCCTCAGGGGGCTTGCCGTCCGCTGCGCCCCCCCAGCAGCAAGGCAGGTTCTCCACGTCCCGACGCAGCTGTGGCAGCCCCAGGAGGGCCCAAGGATCCCTGGCACAGCCACCCGTGTCCTTACTGGCTGTTTCTGCCCTGCGCTCTGGGGCACCCAGGGGTGGGGGGAGAGAAGTGGCTAGGGCATGGCAAGATGGGACAGGCTGGGAATAGGAGCCTCTCTGCACAAGGACTGCCTCCCTGCCCCTTTCCCAGCTTCTCCGGGCGCCCCTTGCCTCCCCGCACTCCTGCCCCTCTGCCCCGCCCACTGCCTCCTGCCCTCACACCTGCCTATCTGGGTCCTCTCACCCTTGGGGTTGTCCCGAGTGTCAAACTCGAACAGCTTTCGGGGATTGTTGGGGAAGGAGTACACGTAGATGCGGTTCCTCAGCACGATCACAATTCTGTGGGCATCACACAACGCAGGACGTCCATGAGGGGAGGGCAGGATGCCAGTCCAGGACTAACGGTCTTGCCTGCTGTCGGGACCTCCTACCTCCCCCACCCCCGTCCTCCTCAGGCTCACTTGTCATGGCGCACGCGCACAGCCAGCACTGGCTTGGTGAAGGTGAACTCCAGCACCAGCTTGTCCTTGGAGTCCTTGCCCTCTCGGGCATCGTCCCAGATCAGCACTGCTGGGCAGGTGGGTGCGTTGTCGGGGCCAAGGTTCAGGGCGAGGGGCAGCCCTGGTGACACAAGACCCCCCCCTACTCCCCATGGGACCTCAACCCACTCGCTTAACCTTCTGCTAACACCAATGTGAGCTTCATCCGGCATGAGCCCTTGTGGGTGTGATGTGTGAGAGAACAGGTTTCTCAGACTGTTACACTCAGTTACAGAGGAAGAAACCGAGGCTCGAGGGGGTTTGACTGTCGGGCTGAGGACTTCACTGCCCATCAGCAACCAGACAGGGACTCATACCCAGGCCTGTAACTTCCCATCGGGAACTATCTCTGCCTCCAGGCTCCCAGTCCGTACCCCTAGGAGGCTTCTGAGTCCTAGACCTCTGTGACTCGCCTAGGGCCTCTCTCGCCATCTCCCAGGGGGATCAACAAACAGTCTCAGAACAAGATGGCTCCTAAGCCCAAAGCAAGAGGACACTGCGGGAGATGACTCCGAGATTGTGTAACCCATTGGTTGTGTGAATTTGGAAAAGTCCCCTGACCTCTCTGGACCTCAGTTTCTTCATCTGTAAAAATGGGGATAACAATACTTCCCGCCACGTAGTGTCACCATGAGGATTAAATGAGTTAATATCTGTAGAGTGCTTAGAACAGTACCAGGCTCACAGCAAGCGCTCCATAGGTAAGGACAAGGCATACAGGAGGCATTCAGTAAGTGTTAAGCAAAGGCAAAACGCCAGGCTTCTCAAGCAGTAAGATCCATGAGTTCCAAGCTGTAGGCCTCACTGTGTGACTCTGAAGTGCTCTAATATCTTCATCGGCCAGTGCCCTGGGGTGCCTGGAGGAAGCCAGGATTCCGGGGAATCTGGGCCAAGGGCGCGATGGGATGAGGGCACTTACCTGAGATCTCTGAGAACTTGGGGCTGCTACCACCACCCACCAGGGCCAGCAGGTTGGAGCGGTGCAGCATTTCCACCAGGCCCATGCTGCCCACCTGCTCATGGTCTGGACAAGGACCAGGGTGTCAGTAGGGGTGGGAGCCAATGCTCAGCCCATCCCTTCTGCCCACTGCCCCTCCCCCGCCAACAGCTCACCCAGATGCCCCTTCTCCATCAATGGCTCCACGTTGTAGATGCGCACACCAGTCTCCATGGCGCAGCAAAAGCAGCCTGGGGGATGGGGGAAATTCGGGCTGCCTCATACGTTGCCCAGTTGGAAGCTAGGGGCTTAACACCCACCTCTGGCCATTCTTTCCCTCCCTCCCTCCTATCCACAAGGGTGCAAGCACGAGCCTCTCTCACTTTGGTCTTGGTTGAAACGCAGACTGGTCACTCCTCGAAGTGGCTGCTGAGTCATGGTCCAGGATTGCTTCCCTGGATACAAATGGGGGTAGAGTTGGGAAGAGTCTGGGGTTTGCCCTCCAAGTCCTAGAACTCCTGTCCCCAACTGGTTTCTTCTTCCTCCTCCGCTGCTGCCTACTGCCCCCAGCAGGACTACAAAGACAACAAAAAAAGAGGGATAGTTCTGGGGTCTCCACTCTAAGCTCCCAAGACCCCAAAGAGCATGGCCAGGAACTTCTCCCCCTCCTCACACTTGGCTGACCCCAGCTCCAGGCCTACCCTGACTTGGTTGGACTCCCCATCTCCTTCTTACTCCCTGGCCCTCACTGCGTGTCAGGAAGTAATGGTCGGTAGAGGGGGCCCTAGTGACATCTCTTCCCCACCCCCAGCCAATCCTGGCCCTAATGCCGCACATGGCCTGGAACCACCCCCCACTCGCTTCTCATCTTCACACCTGGACCTAGCATCCAACTCCACCTGTCAATAAACAGGGAAAGGGGCTAGGACCCCACATCTCCCTAACCCTGGCCCCGAGACCTGCCATGGTTGGTCCACCACCCACAGGACTTCCCCTCCTCATGAGCCTTCTGAGGCTCCCCACTTATTCCACCATCTCAGAGCCTTCTCACACCTTCCCTCCTCTCAGGCTTCTCCAAACCCCTTGGGGATCCCATGCCTAGCTCCAGATGACCCCTCCTCATGCCATGCTAACTTCTGCCCAACCAGGGCCAGCCTGGATGTTCCCCCGGACCCTCTTATGCCCTAAAGACCCTACATTAGATTCCCCTCTCTCTCCAAATCGCTCACCCCTGAGACATCCCCTTCCATGTGCTCTTGTCCCTGACTCCAACATAGATTGGCTTGAACCTACTCCCAGGAATCCCATCCCCTTTACATTC